ACAAACGAGTTCAGTCGAGCATGAAAAATATCGAATGCAGATTGAGTTTTTCTCTTTATTGCTCGAGCTCGACGAGCCATGTAAAATGCCGCTCGACTCGACTGATTGTAAAAAATAAGAATAATTTAGCTCGACTCGAAATTTTAACACCTAAATTTTAAATATAAATGTACTATTTTTCATTTGAATTTGACAATTTGGCCTTGATTTTCTAATACTGAATTAAACTATATAGGGTATTTAAGTAAATAAAAAAATCGAGCGACTCGTCAAGCATGCCTCTTGAAATGATGCTCGATCGAACTACTCGAGCTCGAGTTTGACCGAGCTTGAGTTGAGCATTGACTCGAGCTGCTCGACTCGTTTGTAGCCCTAGTTTCTTTGGTATCCTTTGGCACTTTGGATGTGTTCTTTTTTGAGTTTTTCAGTTTTTAATATAATTATCTGAAAAAAAAGTAGTTCAAACTTTGACGAAAAATGTGATCATACTATTGTTTTTATGTATGTACATTTTTTTAAATGTGCGAAAATATGAAGTGAAATATGACTAATTTGTGTTGCAAATATGGTTATTTTATTAATCGTGGCCTAGGAAAAATGTGTTCATGTTGCAATTTTTCAAAAGCAATTGGTGTTGAAAAGCAGTTCAAACTTTGACGTAATGGTTCAAATATGAAATAACTGTAATAAAATAATAGAAAATGAAGTGAAATATTAGTAATATGTATTATGGACATGGATATTTTAAGCATTTGTAAGTGTATTATCTAAGTGTAAATATATAAATAAATAAATAGAAATTAAATATGATATTTTTTTTTGTAGCCAACCACGATATTCGGAGCTTCGTCTTCATTCACAAAGACTCAAACACGAGACATTGCTTAAGGGACATGAACCTGCTTACCACTTGAGTCAATCTTGTTGGTAATTAAATATGATATTGGCTATAGTTTGACTTAATATTCTCACATGTCATAGACTTGCCCCCTAAATTAGGGCAACAGCTTGGTTCGCAAGTCCATGCGAAAAATGTGCAAAAGTGGTCAAATTTTGAAAATAGCAATAATTAATAAATAAATAAATAAACAACTGTCAAAGTATACACAAGAATTTGAGAAAATCGAATCAATTGATCGTGGAAGAACAAGTTGTAACAAAAAATAAATTGATTACTGTATATTAGAACTTAATTGATTCGGGGTCTTCCTTGGACTACTACAAAAGTTAAGGAAATGTTAACGGAACCATTCTGTTGGGATTTGTAAGATTATATGATGATCCAACGCTTACAAACTTCGACCAAATTATTCTGTAATAGGACGGTAACATTTCTCCAAAAGTTAATCTTTTTTTTTTTTTTGTAAATAACGAAATTGATTGATTATATAATGACAGGCGCTGTGAATTTGCTTTCACATTTTCAAAATTGCTTAGAGATTTTTTTAATGATAAGATTAAAATATGAGTAATGTTATAGGTACATAATATTGTACATCGCGATTTACGTAACACTTCACATTGAGTGAAACTCACCAAAAATAAAAAATTAAATGAACTTATTCCATGTGAGTGTTATGTACATATTTACGTACATTATTATATATTGGTAGCATTTTCCCAAATAAAATAGTACAAACTCGGTTAAAAATTTGCTTTCACTGTTTCACATTCAACTTCGGATATGAAATTCATGTCTGTCAATCCACTGATATGAAAAGAATAAAGAAAAAAAAAAACTTCGGATATGAAATTAAAATATCTATCTAAATTTATTTCATCAACCACCAAATAATAATAATAATAATAAATCCTAGCCTTTTGACTAGCATCATTGCTCTCCCCCTATCCTCTCCCTCAAAATTTCAAAAAAACAAAACCTTAGGGCTTGATTGTTTATGAAATAATTTGTTTAAAATAAATTGTTTTGATTAACTATAGTTAATAATGAAAAGGTAGTATAGTTAATTGTTAGTGGAATTTTAAGAATGTATTAAAATAATATTTAAAATAAAATGATTAAAATTGATTTGATGTAAAAGTAAGAAATAAATGATTGGAAATGATTAGAAATGATATGTAGTTAAAAATATGTGAGTGGATGAATAGTGAATTAAAGTTGATGTGATGTGTAAAAATGATTGGTTTGTATTATTTAATTATATGAATAATATTAAAGATAGTGGAGTTGAGTTAAAGTTGAGTTAAATTTTGAGTTGAAATAAAAGTGGATAAATTAATCCATAAACAAACAAGCCCTTAGCCTTCTTTGTCGTCTGCGTTCCCCGACGGGGCCGTCGGACCCCTCGACGGTGGCCGGTTCCTTGTTTATGGCGCATTTGCAATTTGATGTCAGAGCCATCTTCTCAAGCGATTGGAGTCGGTCGGCGTTCTCGGGTGGTCCTCGACTCCTGTGGCTGCCATCTCAGAAAGAAGACGGTCGGTTTCCATGGCGGCGAGACGGAGGCGACTGCAGTGTTGAATCGTGGGCGAGTTGTGGCTTCGTTTGCCGTGTATGTGGACGTGGCAGAGGTCGGTGGCTGTGGCGTTGACTGGGAACAGGGTGGTGGTGTATGGTGTGGGGAGGGGCTGGCCGACTGATCTCCGGCAGAGGGGTTATGGTTGGCCGCTAGGGAGTGGGCTGAGGTCGTGGGTTTTGACTCTAGTTAGGCCGGTCTTGCAGTTTTTGAAGTTGGAATTGGGCTGTGGTTCGGTCTTTCGGTGGTCGATCATGGTGGTACAGTTGAGGCTCGTCTGGTGTGTTTGTCCAGTTGGGAGAAGGGCTCTTTTCTTTGTTTTTGTGTATTTTGGTTTGTGTGTTTGTGATATTTTGTGTTTCTTTGTGTTTTTCTTTTTTCTTTTTTTTTTTCGATTCTGTTATTATCCCTTTGAGACCTAGATTATCCTGTTGGGAGTTAGTGTTATTATCCGAGTTGGGATCTAGATTCTCCTGTTGGGAGTTAGATTTATTATCGTGTTCGTTGTGATGAATAGGCTCCCTCGGGATATCCTCTCACTAGATTCGGTCTTTAGTTGTCTCCTAGTTGTAATTATGTGTCATATTTATAAAATTCATATCGTTTTGAAAAAAAACCACAAAAAAATAATACATTCTTTATCTTATTCTATATAATCCTCTCTTTTATCCACTCACGTTTGTTTTTTTATTTTTATTTATTTATATATATATAAAAATAAGAGAATAAGAGAGGCCCTAAAGTAGGCTGAAAATTGTGAAGGCCCAATAAATATTTGTACAACTGATAACTCTAAAGCCAATTTTCCTTCATTAAAATACACTGCTAGCATAAAAGGCCCAATACCCATTTTGATAACCGATTGCTTAAAAGCCCATTTCCCCCTTGAATAAAACCTAATCAAAACCCTAATCATCGTCTCTCGCAGAGCCTTTCCCACCACTCAGGAGCTGTAAGCCGATCGGCTTCACCAGGTTCGTATCGAGACAACTCATTTTACTCTACTTTAATCATCGTGATCCTCATTAGCACCTGATAGTTTACATGTTCATGGAGATTTTTTGTTTTGTTTTCTCAAAATGATTATCCGTCATGTTTATGTGATTGGGCGTTCAGCTACTATTGCTTTATATTATTACATTTTACCCGAGAGGAACAATTCGTGTAAGTTTAATGGCAAACTGTGTGTTCTTGTGAGCAATTACGAGCTCGGAGTGCTTTGTTTCTGGCTATGAGATGCGTTCTGCCTCCATTGGGTTAGCTGTAATTATGTTCTTGAGTCTATCTGTGGTTGTGACTTTGCCCGAGCTCAATTTTGGCTGTTTGGAGCTGCTTACATTTGCTTTCTCGGAGATATGCATGTAGTTGGATCTCTGAAGTTATTTCTGGTGTGATATTGGGAGTGTTAGTAAAATGCAAGCTTCAGTAGAACGTTTCTATGGAAATTTGGCCCGAAAAGCTGATATCTAAGTGTTTCTAAATCACTTTATTTGGGTTTGGAAAAGGGCTGGTGTGTTTTCTCAGTTAAAAGTGGTGAATACCTTTTTTTTTTTTTTTTTAATTATACGTTCTGTTATTCCTCACTGTAAGTGTGCTGAGAATTCAGGCAGGGCGGAAGTAAGGCTGATTTGCGATTTTCTGTAGTATTGATAGGATTTTATTTTATTTTTTCACAGGAGTCATGGCTGTCCCTTTGCTCGACAAGAAGATTGTTAAGAAGCGTGTGAAGAAGTTCAAGAGGCACCAGAGTGATCGCTTTGTGTCTGTTAAGGTTGTCGCTTGCTCCATTCTTTAATTCGATCATCATATAATGCATTTACTGTTGCACAGTTGAATCTATATGAATGGAAGCGACTATTTCCCCTTGCCCTAAGCACCATCTATGAGGAATGTTGTTTAGCGCCTATAGATACGGCCTTTATTTATTCCTATACGTATTATTTTCTGCAAAATTAGTTATATGCATTTGGTCCCATTGTTTTGAGTTCCTGGTTTTTCTTCTACAGTAGAATTTCATAGTTTTTTTCCCATTGTTTTGATTTTAATGGTTGTATTTATAATTCTTTTATCTCTTCTGAACTTTTCGGTTTTTCTTGTATCTGTCCAGCCAAACTGGCGCAGGCCCAAGGGTATTGACTCCCGTGTCAGGAGAAAGTTCAAAGGATGCACCCTCATGCCAAACATCGGCTACGGGTCAGACAAAAAGACCCGTCATTACCTTCCCAATGGGTTCAAGAAATTTGTCGTTCACAACGTGAAGGAGCTGGAAATCCTGATGATGCACAATAGGTAACCTTGCATTTCTCGACATATAAATCTTCGCCCCACTTTTGGATAGTCCAACATTGATTGAGTGGTTCATCTGATGACTCTTTGATTTTTTTTTTTCCGTAATAATATCAGGACATACTGTGCCGAGATTGCTCACAATGTCTCGACTAGGAGAAGGAAGGATATTGTTGAACGAGCTGCTCAGCTGGATATCGTCGTGACCAACAAGCTTGCAAGGTTGCGCAGCCAGGAAGACGAGTAAGCTGACATTGCAATTAAATGTTGATGTTTTTTCTTTCTTTTCTTTTTCTTTTTCCCTTTCTGAATGTTGGACATGGAGATTTGAAATTTTTAAAGGGTTTATTAGTGGGCGAATTTTGTTACATTTCTATTCCTGTGGCGTTCTTATTTCATCTGAACTTTGCGAATGACGATTTATTCTCTTTAGACTGTTTTTGCTTGAGCTTATCATCCTCTTAATGTTGGACATGGAGATTTGAAATATTGAAAAGGGTTTAATAGTCGGTGAATTTTGTTAACGTTTCTATTATCGTGGCATTCTTATTTCATTTGCACTTTGCGAATGACATTTTGTCCTCGTTTAGACTGTTTTCGCTTGAGCGCTGCGCCATTTTTGTTGTTTTGTTATTGCCAGCTTGGTCATGCTTATGATTATGAGTTTCGGTTTTAAAAATATGTATATTTGTTGAAAGGATTTTATGTATTTTACTATTTCTATAATACGAATGTCGATGGACATATATCTAAATTGATATATATTTTGGTATAGAATTAACGTGAGTTAAGAATTTATATATCTATGGTAAAACTAAAAAGTGTGAGTTCTCTTTTCCTATCCCATTCAAGGAAAATGCTACATGTACATAATAAATTTACGTAGAGATGTATATAACAGTCACATTGAGTGGGGTCCACTCGATTTTTTATTTTTGGTGAGTTCCACTCAATATGAGTGTTATGTACAATCAGAGCCAGTACCCGGATTGGTGTGCCAGCGGGGACGCTGGGCCCTCCAAGGGGGGTGGAGTCTAGTAAAAGATGTCCCACATCGGTTGTTAAGGAGAACGAAGCATGCCATATAAGTGGTTGTGGACACCTCAACTTACGGGACGCGTTTTGGTGAGCTAGCTCCCAAAGGCAAAACCGTGAGGGAATGATCTGGTGTATACCCAAAGCGGACAATATTCTGTAGCGGGTGAGCTGGGCTGTTACAATTGGTATCAAGATCAACATTACCTTTTGTGATCACATCAATTATACACATCCAATTTGGGTACCAAAAGGTTGGAGGCTAAAGTGAAGTGTCCTCCATTTATGCATATATTCCTACAAGAATCAAGTTTAAGAATCACACATGGTAGACCCAATTTTTATATTCCTTATTTCCTTTCATTTTATTCAGTGTCCCAAAAAAACAGCTATGCAAATTATTGGGCGATCCATATACTTATCTATCATATGTATGATTCTTCTTAGTACACTGAACGAGTCGACTCGAGCTTTTATCGAGCCGAGCCGATAAA